CTGAAGCACGAAGCAGCTGTGTGTGCGCGAGTATCTTTTTACTTGTTAACCACAAAAATCCTCTAAAATATCACTGGTTAGCCAAGAGAGACAGAGCCGTCCCCTACCCGGTTTCCCCGAGCAATACACAGCAGGCTTGTTTACGCACGTGCCTTACCTCAAGCCCACCTGAAGCACCGAACATCACCAGGTAGTGACGTACGTTCATATTAATATCAGTATCTAGTATTGATACAGTCACATTATCATAATTATGGATATCACTTCGTATTAACATATTGACGTCTTTATCATATTGTTTATAAATCTTTAATCACTTTCGATGTTAGGATTCAGTAATAATATCTGTATTATTTTCGTTATTATATTATCAAATTAACAAGACCAAAGTTATCGTCGTGTTGTTCGTCATGATTTTTCGATCTAAACTGCGTTATTACTGACGATCCTTGTGTTTATTGTCTCTTCATAATTTAATTTCTCGATAGAATTAATATTGATCGTAATAGAATAGGAGCAATAGAGTAAATATTGATGTATAAATTCAATCCACTCTTCTGAAGCACATGAATGATGTCTTGATCTGAACGCGATTGCAGGAACATCACGTGCATGAGCCTAGTGCAAATACACATGGTTCCGAGATGCTGAGGGGATATCACATAAACAGTTGCCTCGCCTTCGCCAGCCCAGTTTCTTGTTTCCCCTTCTCTCTCTCTCTCTCTCTCTCTCTCTCTCTCTCTCTCTCTCTCTCTCTCTCTCTCTCTCTCTCTCTCTCTCTCTCTCTCTCTCTCTCTCTCCCTCCCTCCCTCCCTCCCTCCCTCCCTCACTCTCTCTCTCTCTCTCTCTCTCTCTCTCTCTCTCTCTCTCTCTCTCTCTCTCTCTCTCTCTCTCTCTCTCTCTCTCTCTCTCTCTCTCTCTCTCTCTGTCTCTCTAACTGTTTCTCTCTAATTCTCCTCCCGTTCCCCTATTTTCCCCTTGTTTGCTCCTTTCCCCCTCTTCTCATTTCCGTTTCCCCCCCTTTCTCTCTATCCCTCGTTTCTTCCCCCGTATCTGTTCCGTTCCACTTTTTTTCCTTCCCTTCTCTCTTTCTCCCTCTTCTCTCTTAATCCAAAATTGCTTATCTTTTACCGCTCTTGTGACAGAAAATAAACAACGAAGCACTTGTTCGTTTTACCTCTTCTTCTTCGTCTTCTTCTTCTTTTTCATATCATTTCTTATTTATTTCGTTTTTTTTTTATTTCTTCCTCGCTGTTACATTTTATCCCGTTTTACTTCAGATTTATTTTTTGTATGTTTCATTTTGCCTTCTCCCCTCCCCCCCCTTTTTTTTTGAGGGTGGGGGCAATCTTGTTCTCCTTCTCTCTCTTCCAGCTCCTCCTCTTTCCTTTCCTTCTTCTCCTCCTCCTCCTATTCCTCTTCTTATTTTCTTATTTTCCCTCCTTCCTTTCGTCTTCCCTTATGCATTCATCTTCTCCTACTTCTTTTTCTTCTTTTTCTTCTTCTTCTACTTCTTCTTTTTCTTCTTCTTCTTCTTCTTATTATTATTATTACTATTATTATCATTTATCGTTTTGCATGTATGTACGTATGTATGTATGTATGTATGTATGTATATATGTATGTATGTATGCATGCATGCATGCATGCATGTATGTATGTATGTATGTATGTATATATGTATGTATGTATGTATGTATGCATGTATGTATGCATGTATGTATGTATGTATGTATCTGTGTGTATATGTGTGTGTGTGTGTGTGTGTGTGTGTGTGTGTGTGTGTGTGTGTGTGTGTGTGTGTGTGTGTGTGTGTGTGTGTGTGTGTGTGTGTGTGTGTGTGTGTGTGTGTGTGTGTGTGTGTGTATATATATATATGTGTGTATATGTATATATTATATGGATGCATAAACGTATATACAGTTTTCTGTTTACCTCTTTATTTTCTTATTCTATTTATACAGCTGTTTACATCACCATCATCTTCATTTGGAAAACGACAAGATATACCTGGTCTGGTATTTCACTTTGTGTAACACCATCCGCATGATAGAGAGAACAAATCCTCTAGAACAAAACCTTTACACATTGTCGCTGTCAAAGTTTATTTTCAATGGCCTGGTTTATTTTGACTGTTTTTGTATTTGATTTTTGGAGCAGTTGCGTTGTAAGGGGCTCTGTGGTCCGCCTATCACGCCCTTTTCCTCTTGACTTGTTAATCACTGCCAATAGAGGGAGATTTATTTGTTACATCCTGTAAGTGTTTGTAAATGTTTTATCCTCCCTTTAATCAGTTCCGAAGTGTTTCTGTAACAATGGGATGGAATATTTGCGTTATTGGGACTTCAGAGTTCTATAAAACTGTTGGTGTGAATGCGCGTTAAAGATTTATATCCCCCGTTCCCTCTTTGCATGTTATTGGTCTCGTGTGTATTGTGTGTTGGAAAGGAGTGTTGGTTTTCCCGTGGTTGCTGGAGGGCCGTTAGTGGTTATTTTCGAAAGCTTGCGTAAGATTGCGTTGAATGTCATAGAAATTTCCCGCTTTATTCCGAATGGATGCTCTCATGTATCTTAGGTGGATAAAATAAATGGTAAACTCGAATAACAGAACTACGAAAGAAGGAACATTTGGAAAAATAAGAACAGAAAAAGAAAATGCATCTGGCAACACCACCTACACATCACGCCCCAGTTTATTTACAAACATTATTCACGTCTCCATCGCCTGGCAGTCTCCCTCTCTTCGAGATGCGTATTATCCTGCGCCGCATATCCTATCCATCCTGCTTGGCGCGGATAGCTATCCCTCCCTACCCCTCTCACGCCCTCGCTGGTATGTCAGTCACCCCGCCTGCCACTCGAGCAAGCCAGAGCCAAGCCACGGCCGGGCGCGAAACAGGTGGTCGAGGTTTA